CGGTAGTACAAATGACGGTAATACTGCGAGAAGGTTTTTTCGTGATTTTGAAATTACTTCAAAAATAACTGGAATCGACAAGGGGTTGCTTCGAAGAGTTAACACTATTTTAATGGCACTGAATAGTAAACATAAAATTAATGGAAATCGATTTGGGGAATATACATCTGAAATTTCTAAATTACTTGTATCTCTGTATCCATGGAGGGAACTAACACCAACAGTACACAAAGTATTGTGTCATGGTCAAATAATAATTGAATCGAATATTCTTCCACTTGGAGAGTTAACAGAAGAAGCCCAGGAAGCGAGGAATCGAGATTTTAAGCATGTTCAACTATTCAGCTCAAGAAAATGCTCCAGGCAATCACAGAATGAAGATATTTTTAATAGTTTACTTCTATCTTCTGATCCTGTTCTTTCAACTAAAGGAAAAAGAAGGATTTGTTATGAAACTCTATCATCTCAAAACAAGGAAGATTTAAAGGACTTATATTACCTTCTGGATATGTATACCGATATGACAGATTATTTTATAGAAAATAAATAGTGTTAGGAATTAACTATATAAGTAGGTTGTAAGAATTAATTGTATTATGTTTAAGATAAACAGTTCAATTAAAAAAAGCTATTATACTAACTGATGATATTGTATTAAATTGTGTTTTATATTTCGGTGGGCGGGAAAGGTGGTTTGTGTGGGGTGATTTAGGTGTTGTTGTGCGTGGCTCATAATAAAATTATAATTTTTTTATTGTATATACGATGTTATAGTCTTTAATAAAATAATTAACTAAATAATTTTTAAAAATTGTCCAAATATTTTATTCAACACCAAATGTATGTTCTGTCATACTTAATACTAAAATATGAAAAAGATGAAATTAAAGAACACAGGTTTAAATGAACATATTTTTGAATGTAATTGAGATATTGGCTTGAAATTTTTTGTAAAGGGTCGAGAATTTCCATATCTAACTAAAAAATTATATTAACGGATAAATATGGACTAAATTGTTGTAGCTGTCTGCGATCCTATTAAAATTTTGATATAAATCATAGTTTTAGAAATTTAACAAGTATGTAATATAAGACAAAATCTTTATTTATGAACAAAACTTAATGAAATTTTCAACGCTTGTTAAATTTGTCATTTCAAATAAGAAAATGCAAAAAAAATTGAAAAGGTCAAAGGGCATCCCGCAATTCCCAAAAATAGGAATGAAAATCCCAAAAATGGGATTTTTACTTTTTTGCCCATAGGGTCCACATTTCTTTCAGGGCTGGGGAAATACTTTTGGAGTAAATATAAAACATATTGAGGTTTCCAAAACTGCTGCTGCTAACTAAAATTACGCCCGGTATTCAAAAAAAGGCGGACCAAGGTATGGTAAATTTTGTATCACTAAATTTTTAAATGCCTATAACTCGGATATTATAAGAGATAAGTAGTATGTCCAAGCATGTTTTTTCAAGATCTCGTCGAGCGCTTTCAGAAAATATGGCACGAGTTTAAAAATTTTACATGTCGTAGGTACCCTACTTTGAGCCGCCACAGCGCCGTCCCTGGGTCATCTGCGGGGTTCATCTTCAAAACTTAAACTCGAATACTCCTTGGCTACGCTCACGCCAAATTTTTTAACGATTGGATCAGCCGTTTAGAAATGCCAGATTTATTTCCAAAAAATTTCGATTCTGCCCCACTGTGCACTGATTGGAAGATTCTTAGGAATTACGTTCAGGAAACTGAGTTTCTGAACACTGAAAAATAATGCTTTCTTTCTCGTAGGTGTATTTCTTCGGATTTGATGTAGTATACATCCTCCTATCGACCTACCTACCTAAGTTCGAAAATTCGAAGTAATGTTCGAAAAAATTTTGAAGCTGTTAAAATAATCTCAAAATAGGGGATATTAACAAAAATATAATTTTAGTTCTTTTCGAGGCAAATTTCTTACATTTTCTAATTTCGAAATAAAGTTCGAATAAATTTTAAAGCTTTTAAATTATCTCAAAATCGTGGAGATTCACAAAAATATAATTTTTGTCTCTTTTTCTTACATTTTCCAAACAAACAAACTTTGAAACGAATTCGCAGTATGAATTATTTGATTGTGTTCCATTCGACGAATTTACGCAACGAATTTTTGTCGACTAGTTCGTCGTGCTATACATCGTTGGTCGCAATAGTGCGTATACCATTACTCTGACGGGAGAATACTTAAGTATAATGTTATGAAACCACTTAAAATCCCTAGTAGTCTTATAAAGTAAACAAATTTTGCAAAATTAACAAGTGAATTTATAAAAACGCTTATGTACTCCAATTTGGACCTGTCAAGATAATAGCACCAATAAATTCATTTTTGACAAAAAAGCAAAGTAGTACATAATATTTTATTAAAACCCATTAAAATAGATAAGCTGCTATTTGTATTATTAATTATTAAATCAGACTTTTAAGAATTATGTTATTTGATTTAAAATAATAGGCTATTTCACGCACTCCAATGGAGAAACACGTGAAACAATTAAAAAAACTGAATTCTAGGGGGAAAACATAATCCCGGGATGTTAAAACAAAATGATTACAAATTGTCATATCTTACAAATTTAAATTGAAATTTCGGGAGTTCAAACTGCAAATTTTCGTTAAATGATTAGAGGCATAGTGCTAAAAATTATTGAATCTATATCCAGGTGACTATGAGTATACATTTTAAATGTTTACAGTTCAAGAAATGTACTATTCATGAAAACAAGGATGTAATAACAATGTAAGAGTATGTTAAAACCCATTTAGATTAGCCAGTTGAAAACTGGGACATTGCTATTTGAGCAGACAGGTCCAAAATTATTTTATTTTTCTGAAAGGGTTCTTGATCTTATATAAGAAGTCTCAACTCATATAAAAAGTCAAACTCAAAAAATATTCAAATAGACTGCGAAATATGGCTGTTTTGGTAATAGGGTATTTTGACGCTTTCTGTTGTATGATATAGGACCCATTACACATATATTATCTATCATGGAAGTGTCGGAATATATTAAAATCTCTCTCTATATATATATATATATATATATATATATATATATATATATATATATATATATATATATATATATATATATATATATATATATATGTAACAATGTAATGTCAATCGAGAATTTGTAAGCCGATGTAAAGAGAAAGATATCTGAAGTAAAACGAACCAACAATTATGATTTTTGGAGTACTGTGGAACAGGCATGGTTGTCCATTCCTCCAGGAAGTTGTCAGAATTTGCTGAATTTCATAAAAGGGGTTGGCTAGCCCCCATGGACCTAGGGCAACGCAACCACAACCTATTAATAATCCTTAAAGTTAATTTGAGACAAACTACTCCAATTATGAACTATTTAAAGCATTATCTAATTTTTAAATAATTATTAATTTATATGTTTCCGTTATTTCTTTTATTTCTTCTTAACACATTTCTCAATAATATTTAATAAAATACAACACCACTTTTAAATAATATACGTTTTGTTAATTTCCAATTGTTAATTTCCAATTTAAAACTGAAGTGGTGCTATTATTCTGACAGTAGCTGTACATACATACATAACATACATACATACATACATACATACATACATACATACATACATACATACATACATACATACATACATACATACATACATACATACATACATACATACATACATACATACATACATACATACATACATACATACATACATACATACATACATACATACATACATACATACATACATACATACATACATACATACATACATACATACATACATACATACATACATACATACATACATACATACATACATACATACATACATACATACATACATACATACATACATACATACATACATACATACATACAGCTGCGTTCAAAAAAATAGGAGTGAGACTTAAAAATAATTATGCATCTTAATTTTACAAAGAAACATTTACAGAAATCCAATATTTTTTCACGATATTTATTTGTTAAGTGTTTAAAATACAAATCGAATGAAATTTTTTATATAGGTTCATTAGTTTTTTTGGTATTCACTTTTTTCGAAATCCATATCAGATTTCGACTGTTCAAAAAAATAGGAGTACCGTATGTTATATAACCTAAGTTAAATTAATTTCCATTATTCGTAGTAAATATTAAAAGTATAATATAAAACTGTTATATTTAGATGATTTTAAGTAATTTTAAGCTCAGTTCACAATTATTTCATTTAAAATCCTGAAAGAAAATGTCAGAATTGACGAATATGAAATCTGTTCAAATATCTTGAAAATTATGAAAATGACGCGAAAAAAATATGAAAAATCTCATGGTAATTTCATTAAAAGATCAATCGACTTACTGATTCTAAAGCAAAACGTAAATAGTCCTTGCGTATAACTTTTTTAAGGTTTTCTGAATAAATAACTGGATATTTGTGGATAATCGGCCACGACATGTGTCATAAAGCCCCACAAAACCGTTGTCGGAAAGACATTAAGTTCCGGAGGCTCATATACCCAAATTCTAAATAAAATTCTGACAAAAATTACTGATGTTGTACTGCTACACATTAATTAATAATATTTTAAATGAAATTCCCTTCGTTTTTGTTTTTATTTTAAAGATATTTGAACTTAACTCGAATACTCCTATTATTTTGAACAACAGATTTTTTAAGTAAATTTAAAGAAATATATTTTTTTTTTAAATAAATTTCCTAAATAATTAAAATAACGACAATAAAAATTAGAGAACAAGTTAAATTAATAAATTATAAAAATATTTAATTAAAAATCTTAATCTTTCAGTAAAAAATTTATATTTAAAATTTTTGAAATTTTCACTCCTATTATTTTGAACGCAACTGTACATACATACATACATATGTGTGTTATTTCTGGATTTGATCTATTGGCAATTAAGACAAGATTTAATACAATTAAAACAAATATTCATTATAAATACCTGAAGAAATATGCATGTTTGACATTCTGGATCGTCGGTGGCACTGGGCTTAGCAAAATCCCATGATAAATCCTCATATCGTAATCCGAGAAACAGAGTCTAAAATATAAGAGTTAAATCTTTTTATAACAAAAAAGTAAAAACTTTTTATCAAAAAGCCTATAAAATATTTTTTTGAAAAAAAAAAAAATATATATATTTATAAATTTCAGTTTTTAATACAAAAAAGGAGACATACCCCATTCCATAGTAGAAAAAAAGGTATAACCGTTCTCTGTTTTTGTAGCCATATTAAACTTCTGACGTTAGGGCGAATTTTATGTAAGAGTTTCCACAAACCATAAAAAAGGTATACATAGAAATGAAACTGAGCATGACAGAACCTAACCCTTTAAACATTTTTTTTCTTGTATATCTCTATTTGCAATCTATTTTACAATAATAAGCAAATTTGTTAAATTTAAAAATAACTTGAATAATTGTTTCCCATTGGAAACAAAAATTTAAGTTATATATGAATGTACAAAGCCGATAAAGTTTCGGAATAAGTCTAAAACTAATTGGACAATGTTCGGGACCTTACTAAAGAACCGTTTAGGTCAGGACACTTTTCAATGTCGAAATAAAGAGGATATAGATGCCAAAGTGGAAACGTTCACAAGTGCCCTGGTTGAATCGTTCGAGGACAGCTGCCCTCTGCGAGAGCGGAGATCTGCCCAGGAAAAACCCTGGGTAACTGGGGAGATCCGGAACCTTGGGAAGACTCTTCGCAAACTATTTAACCGGGCACGGCGTAAAAAGACCGCAGTATACTGGGATGAGTATCGTAATAAACTTGGTGAATATAAGAAAATCGTTCGAAAAGCCAAACGAGACTCCTGGAAACTTTTCTGTGAACAGGTAGATAGCGTAAATGACGTATCGGAGATAAAAAATTCCTATCCAAAACTTATGTCCAACCAGAATCTATGATCGATGAGACAGGAGGCTTGAGGATATGGGGGAGACAATGAAACTCCTAATGGATTCTCATTTCCCACCCGGTATATCGAATAACATAGATGAACCGATATTGGAAGAAGGGGAGGGTAACACGGAAATAGTTATTACAACTGACATGGTTAAGGGGCAATCAAGAGCTTTGCTCCCTATAAAGCTGCAGGGCCGGATGGAATTTTCCCGGCAGTTTTGCAGATGGAGGCGGGACTGGTTTCCGTACATCTGTCACAGATATTCACTGCATGCTTAAAATTGGCATATACCCCAGTTAAATGGCAGGATGCAAGGGTAATATTTATACCCAAACCAGGGAAACCTAGCTATGCGACATCTAAGTCCTATCGACCGATAAGTCTTACGTCCTTCCTACTTAAAACCTTGGAACGGATAGTCGATAGCATGGTTAAAAGCAGCATACCATACAAAGACCTTAAATATAAGCAGCATGCTTATGTAAAGGGACGATCGGTGGAAACCGCTTTAAATGAAGTTGTCCACTACATAGGTGAATCTTTCGATAGCAAACTGTATACATTGGCGGTATGCATTGACATCGAAGGCGCTTTCAATAACGTGCACACTTATACCCTTATCCAATCCCTAGACCAGTTTTATGTTGACCGGGTGCTCCGTAACTGGATCAATTACATGCTAAGGAACAGATGGATAAGCTGCGAGATGTACGATATAACTATCAGGAAAAAGGTATTTCGCGGTATACCACAGGGTGGCATTTTGTCACCTTTACTCTGGGTTACCACGATTAATAGCCTCCTAAGGACCCTAACCGAGAAAGGACTTAGACCTGTCTGCTATGCAGACGATGTCGTAATACTTTTAAAGGGAAAGGATCCAAATTACTTGTGTAGAAGAGCTGAGGAAGCTCTGAATACAGCCTTGAGCTGGGCTCAACCGAGAGGCCTCAATGTTAACCCGGCGAAGACGGAAATCTGTCTTTTCACAAGAAAGACAAAAATTTCTACATATACTGAACCTTGCTTCCTGGGCAAGAAGATACCGGTGACAGACAAAGTTAAGTACTTAGGTGTAATACTTGACCGGAAATTAAAATGGAGACACCACATAGAGGATAGGATCAACAAGGCACATCGGTGCTGGGCGATATGTAGAAGAACCATAGGCCTGAAATGGGGTCTTAGTCCTACTATGACAAATTGGCTTTATAAAAGTGTAATTAGACCAATTCTAGCTTATGCTTCAATAATCTGGTGGACTGCTTTGGACAAAAAGTGTAATATCAAACTACTACAGGGAGTTCAGCGTACATGCTGCTTGAGTATAAGTGGTGCCATGTGTACTACTTCAACCAAGGCTCTGGAAACGTTGCTAGATATTCCACCCATTGAAACATATATAAGATATGAGGCGGCGCTTACAGCCGAACGGCTCTTTACTTTAGGCGAACTGGCCAAAAACGGTTATAGGACACGTCATCAATGTATACTGGACACATTGGAAGGTTATACACATTCATCGGACGTGCCTGATCGCATACCAGACACTGAATATGTCGGAAACCTTGAAACGCTAATCCCAGATAGAATGTCTTGGTCAAGCGGAACATTAGAGCAAATACCAGTAGGAATCCGTTGCTACACGGATGGCTCTAAATTAGGGGACAAAGTGGGCCTGGGGTTCTATATTGAAGACCCAGAAACAGAAATATACCACCGTTTACCTAATCATAACACAAGCTTCCAGGCAGAAGTACGAGCAATAACGGAATGTGTAAATTGGATTAGAATAAATATGGCGCCCACAGGGCTTAATATATTTACCGACAGCCAGAAGGCAATTTGTGCGATATCAGGTGTTAGAATTAAATCTAAGACCGTATTGGATTGTAAGAAAGCTTTAACTGAATACTCTCCCAGAGGTAAGGTTCACATCATATGGGTACCAGGCCACTCGGGAGTAGTCGGCAACGAAAGGGCGAATGTAATAGCTTTAAAGGGAAGGGAGCTCGATGTAGTTAACCTGACAAACGCAAAACCATTCGACGCAATAAAAGCTGAATTAAAAATATGGATGAGAGAATCCCATAAGGCCTCTTGGAATAATGAAACGGTGGGTAGAACCACAAAGATTCTATGGGGTGACCCTGATGAGAGCAAGACGAGAAATCTTCTCAAAATGAGCAAGTCTGAGGTTAGTATGATGGTTCGTATTCTGAGTGGACACACAGGATTACGAGCACACCTATACAAAATTGGACGTGCGGATTCAGACGAATGTAGAGCATGTGGAGAGGACAGTGAATCTCTGAAGCACTTTCTTTGCCATTGTCAGGCATTCGTCGAAGTTAGATCCAAGTATCTTGGAAGTGATGTTATTCCGGAAATAACATTCTTAACCAACACCGATTGGAAGATTCTTAGGAATTACGCCCAGGAAACTGAGTTTCTGAACATGGAAAAATAATACATTCAGTGAACAATTTTTTTTTTCTTCTTTCTTGAATTGGAGCGCACAACAGGCCCGATAGTGGCCTAGGTGTATTTCTTCGGATTTGATGTAGTATACTTCCTCCTATCAACCTAACCTAGCCTAACCTATGAATGTACATATGTACATTTATATATAGAGATCCTTTACATTTGTATTATTACTAAATTAAAAATTACAATACATACATATGTATAGGGTATTTTAAAGATTCATTACATAAGTAAGACAATATTATATTAAATAAAAGGGAGATCCAAAATGTGATTTCGTTTTAGTCTTCTGACTTCGTCAGTTTCATCTAATAATGTGATTGCCAATAAATTGGTATGGTTCCTTAGTCTATTTAAATAGTTACAGCTAAATTTCTTTATTTCCGATTTAACGAAAGGAATATTAAGGTCACTATGTAATGCTTTATTTGTTATGTAAAAAGGAGCGTTTGTTATTGACCGTAAAGCTTTTGACTGAAATCTCTGTAAGATTTCTATATTTGAATTGCTAGTAGTTCCCTATAATTCTATACCATAGGTCCATATAGGTTTTAATACCGTTTTAAGAAGCAAAACTTTATTTTCAAGAGATAGTGCCGATTTACGACCAAGTAGCCAGTACATTTGTTTAAACTTGTTATCTAGTTGTTTCCTTTTAGCAGTAATATGTGCTTTCCAAGTAAGCCGCCGGTCCAAATGTAGTCCCAGATATTTTACGTTTTCATGACATGGAATTACAGAGCCATTAAGACATACAGGTGGACAACTTTCTCTTCTTGTTGTAAATGTAATATGGAATGATTTATGTGTATTAACTACAATATTCCATTTTGTGAGCCATTGGTAAACATTATTAAGTTGAAATTGAAGGATACTTGACGCTTCTGAAGGCGATTGATGAGAACATTAAAATGCGGTGTCGTCGGCATATGTAGCCACAGTAACGTTATCTCTTGTAGGCATGTCGTAGGTGAAAATGGTATATAAGACTGGGCCAAGCACACTACCTTGTGGGATTCCAGCTTCTATGTAACATATGTTAGAATAATCGTTATTAATTTTAACATAGAAACATCTATTTTTTAAATATGACAGGAAAAACATATAAAATGGAGCAGGAAGAATATTTTTTAATTTATAAAGTAGTCCCTCGTGCCAAACTTTATCAAACGCTTGCTGTATGTCCAAAAACACAGCAGAACAATATTTTTTGTTTTCAAATGTATTAGTTATCACATTAATAATACGGTGACATTGTTCTGGCGTCCCGTGCATTTTCCTGAAACCGAATAATGTTGTTTTTGTTGAGAAAAGGGGCTAGGCGTTTTAAGAATAATTTTTCAAATATTTTGGAGAATATGGGTAGTAAACTAATGGGTCGGTAAGAGGAAACTACATGTTCTGGTTTTCCCGGTTTAAGGACCATAATTATTTCCGCGCACTTCCATTGTGAAGGAAAATGTTGAAGTCGTAAAATGGAGTTAAATATTTCAGTTAAAAATATGACACCTTTGAATGGTAAAGATTTTATGGCAATCGCATCTATTTTATCATATCCTGTAGATTTTTTGTTATTTAAAATACTTATTTCAGTTTTCGTTTCCTGTGTGGTAATAGGATTTATGGGTAATTCCATTTGAC